GCACGTTGGCGGGTGGGTGGGGGGGGGGGTGGAATAGTGTGGACTTAGAAGGAGGATCCTCGTGGTAACACAAGAAAACATTGGTTTATAGTGGAGTCTTCCCGCACCCTCCCCGGAGGAAATAAAAGTAGATTTCATTGTCTGTCTCTTTAGGTCGAGAAACCTTTGTCCCGACTTTGTCTCCCCAATACCTATTAGACAAAGACCATAAAGCTCGGTTTGTGAAGTCTCTGACAAAACCATATATAGTCCTCTATTTATATAACTACTTTTTTGTCATATTATCCCACTTGAGGAAATTTATTACAGAAGGAGACTGGAAGAATTTATTCACAGGAAGGGGGAGACTGAAAGAGGCACGAGAAAAAGATCGAGGTGCGCGGTTCCTGCTGCATGCCGTACGGGACGCGGTGGAGCGCTGTGGGGGAGGAGCACGCGCTACTCCCCCGTTGTCTTCGACATGGTGGGGGGGGGGGGGGGGGGGGGGGGCAGCGGGCGGGGGGGGGGGGGGTGGGCGGGCCCGGGGTTGGTGATTGGCTAATGGTTACACAAGCCAAAAAACCGTTATGACATCATAAAGTGGCCAAAATCTGATCAGCTCATTTTCACACAGGTTTTTATATAAATGGATCAGGACAAAAAGTGAGCAAATATTTTTTTTCCTGAAACTTTCAGAATCTCTTTACACAGAGAGGACACGTGTTTATGTATAAAATTGATGAAAAAGTGGATTTTGCATAATAGGTGACCTTTAAGAGCACACATACCATCATGCAGTGCTGCTTTTTACCTGTGTCGTCACCAGAAACACAACCACGTCTCCTTCCTCCTCTGAGCGGTGGATCTCCAGCACCAGGCGGAGAGCGGAGCAGAAGTATCCGTCCCCCGTGCTGCTGTGCACCCCCGCCCCTGCGCCCGGGCTCTGCAGGCGGATCAGAGGCGCTGCTGACCCGTTGAAATGGACCAGCTGCTTTGGGTCGGGGTCCACAGCTGTGAGTAGGACAACCCGGAGCTCAGGCCTCTGCAGGGCCACGTCCTTCAGAAGACCCTGCAGCACGTCGGTGGCCACGGTCCTCTGGTGGGCCTGGTCCACCACGATAACTCCGTAACGCTCGAGCAGAGGGTCCGACATCATCTCTCTCAGGAGCATGTCGTCAGTGCAGTACCTGCCGGGGGGGCAGTCAACCATGCTTGACATTACACACACTGTACATACTGTACATATTGAAGTCTACTTACACTACCTCACAGGATGTATTGGACTTTTCATTTCAAGCTACTGTACACAATGTGTTGTTGTATATAGAACACTTTGTTTATATGTTTAGTAGATTGGTATATTAGAGAGTAATCATATTTATTCTGTATATTTTGATATTCTGAATATATGTATTTTTACTGAGGATATGTATATATTGTTTTTCAATGTTAAGGTTCATCCTTGTATTTTATTATATTTTTAAGAAATGTTGTAATTCTTGTAGATTGACTGCCAAAATGCTGCTGTGACAAAATAATTGTCAACTTCGGATTATTAATGTATCTTTCTATACATTTATCTATTTCTATCTATTTATCAGGAGGGAGCAAACAGTACCACACCCAGTATTTCAATTAAAAAATGTCCACCATTACAATTTGTTTTGTATTCGTTCCGCTCATGATAGTGCACAATAAAAGCGAAAAGATTCAGAATCAAAACACAACTCAATTTACACTTCCCATGACCAGTAGAATCCGTAATAGCCTTAACATAAATCCTCAGGTTTCTTAATTATAATTCAGAAAGAGAGGAACCTCAGATGGGCATTTTAATGAAAGTCACTTTTATCTACATGTCAGCTTTACCCCCATTAGTGTAATTTACTCTGATAATTACGCAGAGGAGGGGATCTCTTCTACATGCTGGCGGCCTGAGGATCTGATCTTTCCCCCCTCAGTGTCCCGGCTTCCTTTGTCCCCGATCTGACTTATAAGGGACCCTCATGAGGGAGTGTGACATATGGGCAGACGGGGGGCTGGGCAGCTGTGGAGGAGCCCCTGAAAAGAGGAAAAGAGTCCCCTCGGGCCTTTTGTTCACTCCTTTCTTGTGAATTAGAAAGGGCGGGGTGATTTAGCAGAGTGTGTCAGACTGTGCTTTATATTAACCCGGCAGAAAGAGAGAAAAGAGCAGATAGAGCACACATGGATAGATCTGCAAAGTGCTGCTTTTCCATACCTTAGGACCGAGTCATTGTGGGAACATGCTTCCAAAGGGATGCTGTATCCGACCTCATGACCAATGTTGACGTCCATCTCATCTGCCACTCTCAGGGCGAGATCTACAGCCTGCTGCGCGTGAATCTGCGTACAAACCACCATGCCATGCTGGAACTGAACTGACAGGCAGAATTCAGCACACCACTGGGGGATCTGTTTCAAAAAAGAGCAATATAAGTTGTTTATATCACAGATGCGTCCCCACTTTGTAAACGTTTGAATATCCACCTGTTACAAAGTTTCTTCATGAATTAAAAGTGTAGTATTTCCGATGGTAAAGTGTAAAACACCCTGCAGTACTCACTTGAGAACTTCTTCCAGTTTTGGCAGAGCCACTGACAATGACAAACCGTCCTTTGGCCAAAGTGTCCATAAATTCACATTTTGCATCCCACACTGGCAGCTCTTTCCTTTCCCTCAGCAATTTGTAAAACCTGGAGGAATAAGGCAGTCCATCAAACTGATTAAGCTCCAAAATATCATCATTTTCAGTGTCTCGTTGACTCAGAGTCTCTGAATCTGAACAACAGGGTGATATCCTCTCGGTATACTCTTCTCCAGTTAAACCGGTAATGTCCTGCTCCATCACAAGTGAGTTCCCAGTCTGTCTGCTTAAGATTTCATAAATTGATCCACGAAAACAAAGTCTGGAAGTGTCCTCTCTCAGTAAACTGTTGGACAGCACACAGTCCGCTCTGCTACTGAAGCCAAATGAAAGACTCTGTAGGCGGCCAGCCCAGTGCTGTCATGTGGCCACTAATCCCATAGAAGAGCAGTCATCAACTGATGACACACACTCTCTCTCACACACTCTCTCTCACACATTCACACACACTGATGTGAGAACACAGATAGATGGGCAGAGGCTCAGAGGGGTCTGATGTTTACAATACAAACTGGCTCATTTGCAAAGACCCCAAGCTATGCATGAAGAAAGCAATGCAATTATTTCCCAACCCTGTTTAATTAAGAGAGTAATTAGGAAATTAATTATACCACTGGTTGACAAACTGAGATTATTTGTGCATCCAACAACAAGCAGTTGTGCCAGAAAACACAGATATCTATAACCAAGGGGTTAGCAGTAGCACCAACTTGGGATTTGTTTTCAGCCTCCACAGTGACTTCATTTATAGTTCTTAAACAGTGGTGTTACATTTGGAAACAAACAAACAAATTAATTTCAGTATCTTCACTATTGGTGTCATACTTCTACTGTACATATCATTGTACTTGGGTTGAATCAAGGCAGCATATAAGCTAATACATCAAATTTAGAAAATTCCTTCCTATTAACTTTAGTAACACATCAAGAAAATATGTTTGGCGCCCACCAGTGGCTGACAATTAATAATGTTTAAACTGACACCACTTAAAGGTGGGGTAGGTACTTTTGGAGAAACCAGCTCGAGCGCGCTAGAATTTGAAAATACACAGCCGGAAAAAATCTGCCACTTCCTTACAGAGCCCCTCCTCCAACACACACGAACGGGGGGCCCTATGCAAGATGCTGTTTGGGCGCCCTAGTTTTTACAGTTTTTTTTAACGACAATCCCCCCGATTCCGAAAGCCTTTAAGATGATCTGTGGAGATGCATCAATCTGTTACACTTTAATAGGAAAACAGGCTAATTTCACAAAAACCAAGCAATTGAAAATGACAAAAAATGATATTAAAAAGGTAAACAATAAGGTTCCTATATGTCAATAAATGCAAAAGATGCAGCATTTTCTCAACAATTTTTGATTTACATTTTTCATCTTCCTCAGACGTCACTCATTGGCTGACAGCCCAACGATGATTTGGACTTTATTACCCCAAAAACACAAGCCACAGCTTTGCTATCATTGTAGTTTAGTCGTGTTTATATCCTACATTGGATTTTTAAGCATACAATTATGGAATGCCATTTAAGCCAAAATTAAATACATAAATAAATACATATATATATATAAATATGCCTATGAAATACATTCTGAAATAAATAAAAGACTTCCATAGACAATGCTTCACCGAACACGGGAGGGGGCTTGGCTGTCTACAAATAAAGACGGCTCATTTTAACTCTCCCCAAATATATTGAGGCTGAACCTGAACTTTGAATTCTCTGCTCCCATCATAATCTTGGCAATCTTGTTAAAATTGTGAATGCAGAATTAGAAATACTATGTAACTGGTTTGCAGTTAATAAATTATCCCTTAATGTGGCCAAAACAAATGACATGTTATTCAATACAAAGTCTGAGAGTAGAAATGACTACATTATACGGATTTGCAATACCGAGATATAAAAGTTTGTGCATGTACATTTTTAGGACTGCTTGTTGACGAAATACTCAATTGGAAGCACCATATAAATTATGTACAGACTAAACTGTCAAAAACAATAGGTATTTTGTATCATACTAAGAACATTCTTGAGGAAAAATACTCTTTATAACAGTCTGAGACTGCCAAGGCACANTTGCTTGTTTGATTAGTCATGTGTGCATTTAGGTTCTGTGTTTTCTGTTAGTCTTTGTTAGTTCCTTGTTGTAGTTTGACATTGTTCACTGGGAAGAGTTCTGTCTTGAAACCTTGAAATAAAGGTATTTTCTGTTAATCTGCATTTGGGTCCTGCTTGCCTCTTTCAACCCTGACAATTTTGTATTATACTAAGAACATTCTTGAGGAAAAAATACTCTTTATAACAGTCTATTTCTCCCTTACCTTTACTACTGCTCCGAAATATGGGGAAACACGTACTCAACACATCTACAAAAAATAATAACATCCCAAAAAAAAAGTATTACGAATAGTCTGTGGTGTTGGTAAATATGAACACACCACTCCCATATTTAAAAAAAACTCAATCTATTAAAATGTGTTGACATAGTACAGCTTAAAACGGTGCTGATTATGCACCACATTTTCAAAACAAAATGCCTAATAACATTCAAAAGCAGTTCCAAACCACAGCGTGAACATGTGAATGTAAAAAAAGTCACTTGAAAATAAGTATTCACAATGTTTAGCAATACATATATTATTATTATTATTCATTTGCCAAGTACATGTACATATGTATATATTTATATATAGTATTTTCATTTCCAAAAAAAGATAGTTGAAACTGCTATTGACATGAGCAGAAAATGACCCTATATCTAGTTTTCGTATATATATATATATATATATATAGTATTTTCATTTCCAAAAAAAGATAGTTGAAACTGCTTGACATGTGCAGAGAATGACCCTATATCTAGTTTTCGTATAAACATATGTATATATATGTGTATATATATATATATATATATACAGTGGGGCAAAAAAGTATTTAGTCAGCCACCAATTGTGCAAGTTCTCCCACTTAAAAAGATGAGAGAGGCCTGTCATTTTCATCCGAGGTATACCTCAACTACAGTATGAGAGACAAAATGAGAAAAAAAAAAATCCAGAAAATCACATTGTCTGATTTTTAAAGAATTTATTTGCAAATTATGGTGGAAAATAAGTATTTGGTCAATAACAAAAGTTCATCTCAATACTTTTCACACACTGTTGCTGGTATTTTGGCCCATTCCTCCATGCAGATCTCCTCTAGAGCAGTGATGTTTTGGGGCTGTCGCTGGGCAACACAGACTTTCAACTCCCTCCAAAGATTTTCTATGGGGTTGAGATCTGGAGACTGGCTAGGCCACTCCAGGACCTTGAAATGCTTCTTACGAAGCCACTCCTTCGTTGCCCGGGCGGTGGGTTTGGGATCATTGTCATGCTGAAAGACCCAGCCACGTTTCATCTCCAATGCCCTTCAATGCCCTTGGAAGGAGGTTGTCACTCAAAATCTCACGATACATGGCCCCATTCATTCTTTCCTTTACACGGATCAGTCGTCCTGGTCCCTTTGTCTGCAAAGGGACCAGGACGACTGATCCGTGTAAAGGAAAGAATGAATGGGGCCATGTATCGTGAGATTTTGAGTGACAACCTCCTTCCAAGGGCATTGAAGGGNTCCTCAGGACAGATTCACCATTATCATGCACTTTTAAATAGCAAGTCAAACACAAATAACATCATCATCATATCATTTAACACCTGAACTTTTGAAAGAACATCCATAACATTAATCTGTTTGCAACGTGTATATATATATCCAATATTCCAATGACTTGTATATAGACTAATCTGCACTATTTCTATTCTATTTGATTTGATGTACTTGCACTATTACCTGTTTTATTGTGCTGCACTGTTGGAGGAGCCTGTGACCTCAGATTGTCGTTGTCACAACTACACAGTAGCTATGTACAAATGACAATAGAGGCCTTGAATATAGGACAACATTTTTGTTGCACATTATTACATTTCGCTTAGGAACTTATCCATTGTGATTTACAAAGCATCTCCACACCAGTGGCCATGGAGCAATGTAGGGTTTAGTATGTTGCCCAAGGACACTTCGACATGTTCGACCATCCGATTGGTTGACAACCATTTCCTCCCTGAGCCACAGCCACCCTATTGGCTCTCATTGTAACAATATAACCACATATAGATTGTTAACCTTGATCTTCCTTCTTCTTCTTCTTCTTCTTCTTCTTCAGGACTACATGAAGCCGAGTCCTCCCCAGAAGCCCCTGCCTGCAGACCCTCTAGGGAGGTGCTCTCGGCTGGGTCACTGTGCCACACCGGGGGTCCACTTCCCAGCCAATCGCCCGCTCCCCATCCCCATCCCCATCCCCACGGTGCCCAGGCCTCCGCCCAACATCCCTCTACCCAGCAGGTCAGAGCTACGTGACAGGAATCTCAGACGTGAAATACAGAGCTGGCTTAATCTGTCTTGTTAAATGAATGGCTTTCTATCATTCAGACGTCGCTGTCCATCACCTTAATGTTGGTCACAGCTTTATTCAGACGTGATATATATTGCACGGTGGGTGGCACCTGGTGCACGAGAAGAAGGGATGACACTGCAGGAAAATAGTGATAGCAAGGAAGACATTTAGTGTTTTCGGTTCTGTTGCTTTGAAACCTTCATTCAGTTCATACTTTTATCAATTTAACTATATTCCGTTTGGTTACTCATCTTGTATTGGGAAGCGCTTTGTAACCCTGTTTGGATCATTATTATTGATTAGCGGTGATACACATATTCCTAACTTCATCCATGCAATTGGGAGTGATGATGTGATTTAGTATTTCGGCTTTAAGCTGTTTTCTTTACTTTCTTTGCACCAGACCACATAAAAGTATATTTCTTTGGACTTATCCAAGAAAACACTCTCCTTCAAACTAAAAGTTGTCTCATTGGCAGCGCTGCAGTGTTTCCTGGTTTATTGAAACACTTTTTTTCCCGTGTGCGTGAGGTGATATCTTTATTACACTGCTCTAACCTTGTACCGCTGCAGCCTTTACATGAATTCAATTTAATAATTTTTTTTACTGCAGTCAGTCCGACCTAATGAGATTACTGTTCTGACTTTGAAATAGACTTCGAAATGACTCGAGCTTATTCATGAGACATGGTGTGTTTATTTACAATCGGATGAATGCAACAAGGTGCGTGACTGAAAGGAAATATGAAGCATTAGTATACAGAAGTGCATGACATGAATCTTTATCTCAGAAAAATGGAAAATCATGTACATGTTGGTCGTGATATGCAACATTTGATCTTTTCTGTGGTGA